AAAAGGAAACCTTAAATGGTTTGAGAAAACATGATCTGAATGGTGGGAGTTCATCTGAGTATAGGGAATGATAAAGACTATATGGCAAAGTTTCCTTAGTACCCTGTTAGGGTGCGGCATTGGAAACAATTTTCCTTAGTGCCTTGAAAGATGCTATGTTAGAGGAGATCTCTTGAGTGCCTACTAAGGTACTGTGTTGGAGATGAGAGATTCCTTAGTATCTTTGTGATACGAGTGAGAGTCAATGACACCCCATTGTATGTATTGGGAGAAAACCATAGTCCGTACTGTGCATTAAAACATCTTTGGCCGGGTGATTCTATCACTGCAGGTGAGCTCAAGACTAATGAACCATTGGTCTGAGATAAGCCTATGGTTTCATGTCAAGGTAATTTAGAAGATCGGTTGGTAGAGATCATGCTAGTATTTTATGATATGATGAAATATCTTGAGATAGCATGGAATCTTTCAGGATTGATGAAAAGTAAAAAGTGAAATGTGATATGATGTAAATACTACTTTATAAAGTTTTAATGGTATACTATATTTACTTTCATATTGTTGCATGTGATAGTCAATAGGAGTGAGTTATTCTGTTACTGAGATTTTTATCTCACCCTTATGATTACATATTTATAAGACCGAGAAGTGATCAAGCTAAGGGAAGAGAGTTTAGACCGGCTTGAGTTGAGAAGTTATGTACTCTGAGATTGTGTAATGAACTGAATTGAAAGATTGTATACATAAGTATTTATGAGTTGCCATGTATTGAATTGGGTTTTTGTGAAATCAAGCCCGAATTATGTGCATGTGTTGTTTGAGACAAAAGGGGCTTTGATTTGGGTATGTTTATGTTGCAATGGTTATGTGTTAGTGAATCTTAAGCCAAAGGATAAATTATGAGGAAATGAGTAATTTAGAGGCTAAGATTGTATTTTGATTATGATGGGTGAATCTTAAGCCAAAAACCAAATTATGATGAAATGAGTAATTTAGGGGCTAAGATTATATTATGAATAGGATTGCATATGTATGAGTAGAGAAGTAGCCAAGTGGGCTATGTTATGCCAAGAAATGGCATAGTTTGTAAAATTAGTAAATTCTAGAAATTGGTCGTAGAAAGGTCATATTTTGATATATAATTATGATTGTGATTAATTATAGTCAATCAGGTGCATCAGATCCTTTTGAACTTGGTTCAAGGCCTGGTGTGGTCTAATGAGAGAAAGGAATTGATTTGAGCGCTTGGGTGTGTCAAATTTTCAAAAAAAGTGACTTTTTTCACTCAGGTGTCCAAATTTTGATCAGACTATTAGATCGTGTCCAAACCTATCTCATTAGTTAGTATACAAGCTAAGCTTCGTGTGAGCACTTGAATCACTCTAATCGGATGTCGTATGAGAAATTGGCGCATCCCGAAATTTTGTCATTTTTTATGTCAAAATGACAGCAGAAATTCGGACAGGTGTGCTGCGGCGTGTAGATGCACATGCCACGGCATATGACACAGACAGAGAGAGCGTGTGGCTCTGTGCACATGTCATGACGCACTGACCGTTCGCCGCGGCGCATATACCAAAATTCAGTTTTATTTTGTGAGCTAAAATGCATGCATTTAAGAAAGGAATGCTGGTGGTTTAAGTCCACTATGTATTTGGAAAGTGTATGATTTATTTCAGCTATGTTTTCTCTAATTGAATTGTGATTTAATTAATTTTATAAAGTAAGCTTTTAGCCGAAACTTTTAAATTGGAATTGGATTATTGTGAATGATGTGAGTTAATGGTAACACCATAGTCTTCTCTTATATTGAGTGGATATATAAGAGGAGGTTACCCTTGAGATAGTTGTCTTAAATAAATACATTTTTTTAGCCAAGGAAGAGAAGTTGAGTGAGGTGCCATAATTAATTAGAAGCTAGGATTCTTCCATTAGCAACACTTAGGGTTTCTACTTTAATAGGGAAGCCACTCTATTCACAATTAGATTTAGTTTGCTAGTTTAATTCATTAGGTAATTAGGTTAGTAATTAGGTAATCAAATTTCCAACTTGGGTGACTTATTGCATTAGGTAACCTTTAATTAGACTAAGACCATTCCTTAGGAGATGACCTAGGTTGGCCCTATATTGCATTAGGATTAACTTTAGTTTAATTTTGAGGGTACAATTAATTCCAACTATTAACCAAAGACATTTAAGACAATCACTATAGTTTATCTAAAGATACAGTTATCATAGAGAACATGCAATTAATATGATAACAAAAAAGAAATTCATTAAATAACAATGTTCGTAGTACAATGATTGATCCTAAGGCACAATTTCCAACATCCTCCTACTTGCACTAAGTAACTCTAATCTTCTGTACTTCCCTACCTTCATCTCACAATGTGTGTGACCCCTTGAAGCCTCTCCATGTTCACTAACCTCCTGTTTTGGGATATGAGCTTCTGTCATATTCCTCTATATTTGTCCCAAAGTCTCATTCATCTTGTCCAACGCCTCCTTGAAAGTATTCATTTCTCTAGTTAATCCACCAATGGTCTCCTTTAGTTCTTGCATCTCTAGGTCAGTAGATTGCACATGTTCACTCACTGTTGTTTAGTTAGATAGTCCTTAGGATTTCACTGCTTTCATACCAAATGATACAACCTGATTGTCAAAAAACAAAACAACAAACAAATATAACAATAGAATAACCACAAGTCAAGGGAAATATTGAGGTTTGATATTAAGAACTCTAAAAGGCTAAAGCACTGTTACAAGGCACTCCATTGATTCAGAACAAACCCTATTCCCTATTACAACCAAAATATCCAAATAGCCAATAAAGAAAAAGAACAACAATATCACAACAATGCTAACTAAGCATGCCCTCTCATTTTGGAGAGCCAGTCTCTCCTCTCACCAAAACATCAAAATATCACCTACCCTTTTTCAAAAGACACTAGGGACTATTATAACCCAAAAGCACCTTACACAAACTCCAACATCATTTTCTATTAAGACAAGCCTAAAGAGACGCTAAGTCAACACTAAGTTTGAATAGCTTTCCTCTTAAGAGTAAAAATAGCAAAGTCAGCATTCAACCCTTCCTAAAGGTGTTGTTCCCTTTTCTTGTAGTTTCCTATTTCTCCTCTTGTAGGTTTGTAGTTTCTTATTTCTCCTCTTATAAGTGTGTGAAGTAAATGAGATTCCATCACTATGTTTACTAAGAGGAGCAGGTGCCGATGGAGACTCTTTAGGAGATCATAGGATCCGAGAAAAAGGTTTGCATTGAACAGAATATGTTTACTGTTAATAATTCTTTAATGCTTTTTTTCCTCCCCCCCCCCCCCCGGTTCAGATAAACTATGTGATGAAATATTTTCACACACACACACACAGGATTTTAAATGGAAGTTGATCTAAGCAAACTGGGAGGTCTGGTGGTAGAATTTAAATAGAAGGTCCTTCACATGTCAACTAATTAGCATCGTCAAAATGATCACTTGCACAGGATTTTATCCTTAAATATGGGATTCTTTCTATGTCACTCCTTGTACTACAAAGGATATGATATTTTACAAACATGCACAGGGGCTGAAAAAGTTGAAGCACATGATGAACAATAAAAGGGAAAGTACAAAAGGAAACGGAAGTCGAAGGTTGAGTTTCAACAATTTTGATAAATCCTCTTTTGTAGCCAGGCTACAAAATCTAATTTTCTCTCCTTCCCTCACTTTCATTATTTCTTATAGCTTTTTTTTGTGATTTTTTTTTTCATTTCAATCATCACTAATGGGACATCGGCTAGCTTGCATAGATTCGGGTCTAATACAATATAGCATGATATAGGGATATGGTAAATTTTCAAAATTGTAAGATAGGGGGTTCAAGGATATTTATAATATATATTTTAACATTTTATGATATAAGTATAAGTATTTTAATTTTTAAACAAAAATTTCTAAAGTAATATAAAGATATTTATAACAATTAACTAAAATTTAAGTATTTTTTTCAAGTTTTTAAGTGGTATATTAAAAAAATATTAGAAAAAAATTATATCACAAATGTTAGAATATGGAATACATATGCAGAGATATACTACAAGTACCATATTGAATACAGATATGAATATGCTTATTTTTTTTGAAATATCTCTGTTTCATAGGATATTAAACAATCAAAGAGATACAATTAAAACTAGGAATGAAATAATGTGGCAGCAGAGTCTTTTCCGTGATGATGGAAAAGATTCCGCTGCCGCATTAACAATTAACCATTGCTTAACATTAATATGGAGAGCTCATTCATTTTGAATGATCCATTCAATACTTCAAAATGCTGCTTTTGAACTTGAAAAATAGGAAAGGGAAGAAATATAATTCAAAGGAAAAGAAAGCACTCACCAGAACATTCATGTATATTTGGCCCTACCGTTTGCATCTGTGAACTCCTAAAATCCGAATCTAGAGACATAAGAACCAACCATATCCTTCTATCCCTGAAGAAATCATATCCCTCAAACATAAGAAACAAACATTTCTGAGATATAATAAACTAAAATACATTTTGTATCCCTCAAACCAACCATTTTATGATAATTTTATTACTCTTGCAGTAGTTGTACAAGACTAATGCCTATGCTAGCAAGTAGTTAAGAATTTTTTTTTCTATTTTCGGCAGAAAAAAGTTAAGAATAATGAAACTTATTGTATGAGCAAATATTGATCTAGCTACTCTAGACCACCATACCCTCTTAGAGCATGCAAATCATTTGTACTATTTTCCCAATATCAAATGTAAGAAAATGCACCCTGTACCCTGACAAATGTAGTGAATAAATCTCTGTTAAGAGTCAAACACATCAAGTTTATTCACCAGTTGAATTCTCCACATACCAAATGCTACCCGTCGAGTTTATAAGAGCACTTTTCTAGCATATATACAATCTCTAATTCAAACTCTTCAAGTTAGGGGGAAAAGCAAGTCAAAAATTAAAAGTGAACGCCCATAGAAAGAACCATATGTAATTATAACAAAGGGAGGACAATAAAACTTGACTCTGATCCTGCAAATTTCAGACATTTCTGATAGCACATGCTTGAAGTTTTATCCACAATCATGTTTTATCAGCATGGCAATATCTTCCGACAGCACATGCTTGAAGTGTTTTCCACAATCAGGTTCCATCAGCGTGAAAATATCAGAATCAATATACAAAAAAGTTTGGTTCAAACTTTATATTTGAAATGCAAGGTTTCCTTATATACAACAATTGCACAACATAACAAATACGTAGTTAAATGGGGCCTCGTGTATCAAGTAGTGACGCGGCGACACCTACACCAAAATGCAGTTCCTCCACTTCGGCCTCGAGCAACAGCAATTTCCTCATCAACATAGAACCAGACAAAGAAAGGATCTTTGGTACTTGGTTCCCTGTCATCTTTTTTTCCCAGGCTGATCTCCAGAGCTTTCAAAGGTCCAACTTTAATCCGGATGTCCTCGAATATGAAACTCAGTATTCTTTTTTTCCATGATAATCTGCCTTCAAATGTCAGCTGTCCTATAGGTCCAAGATATACCCCATTTTCAATCCTCTTCGCCTGACAATCATGGAGGATAACTTAGTTGTCTACGGCTAACAAAAGCAACATAAAAAAACAGACTCAAGCTTTTCTCTGTTTGACGTATACAATCAGATTCCGAAGTGAGCATACTTGTCTTTGAATGGATGATCTGGCAAGTGAACATCACAAATAATGAAATGGCCGGTGTTAATGCTAGCTAGATAGCAAGTATGCATTAATGAATGTGTTTAGAAGCCTTATTAACACAAAGAAGCAATCTAGTTCCTTCTTGTCCATGATCAATGTAAATATGGATAGGATAATCAAACGTAATAACTGAGGCCTAATACTGGGTTCAAATAACCTCAGATAAATGGATCTTAAACACGAGATTCAGTGCTAGGTTCAGTATCCTCTCTTTCCTCCTCATCAAACTGTTGATTAAAACTCAGACTTTTGTTTTCAATTTCTTTCGCCCATTTGAGATAGGGGATGGGATCTGATTCCAATCCCCAGCAAGATGACTTCAAAATTTCTCATTCAGATGCATCAGATACAAACTAAACTACCTACCAATGACTTGATAAGTCAGCAATGAAAATTCATTCAGCAGGAAACATGTTAATAGAAGATAGACGAACAAAGCAAGGTGAAAAAATGAAGGTAAGGATACAGACGAGTGGTCTTTGAATCCTAATTATATGTAGGGAAAATATAATCATTGGTCCTATAATTCTATAGGTTTTGCTTTTAGCCCCTTTAATTTGATTTCAGTATTTTCAGTTCTTATTGCCCCTATAATTTAACAGTGTTAGGCACTTAAGAAACAAGCATCACCCAATTTTGCTGAAGCTACTAGACACAGTGAAAAAAACAACAGGACTAAAAGCCAAGCCTGATGAAACTATAGCACTAATGATTGTGTTTTCCCTTACATATATTGGAGTTGTATGCTAAATGAATTGAAACAGATAAGATCTTCTGAAAAGACTTACGGCAGCATCAAACCTCTGAACAGCTGTAAAAGGAAAATATCGACCCCGCTTCAGTTGCTTCTAAGATTCAGCAGAAAAGTACTGTAAGCAGAAATAATCAAGAAACAGAATGACGGTCAAAAGAAGGGGGAAAATTGATACATATGCGCATGTGTGCGCGCCAAAACATGGACAACCTCGGCAGTAAAAATAAGCATCCACTTTCTCCCAGGGGATTCGTTTCCACCGAGAGTTTCAAGAAAACCAGAAGGATCAAGTTTGGCTTTCTCAATCACCGAAAGGGCAGAAAGAATCTCCTCCACTGCTACCTTTCTTGACTTGGCTGCATTTTTCAGCACTTTCACACTTTCCTCCACCTCCTAAATAAATATATAAAAATGGAAAGAAAAAGAAAAATTCGCAGCATGAGATCGAGGAAGAAAGTAAAGGATTGAACCAAACGAAGAAATTTAAAGCAAAAGAACAATGGGACTGGAAAAAAACAAACTTGTTTGGGGTTCTCATCATCAACAAGAAGTGGGGTTGAGGTGAGTTGATCACTGTCGTCGAGGGTCGCTCTGGTTCTTGATGTGGGAAATCCAACAAGATAAGAGTTAGTTCCTTGGAGAGGAACCGCATTTAAAGGGTTAAAAGGCAGGGAGGACAGTGGTAGATTGGGACGATAAGACGCTCTAAGGAATAAAATTTGAGACTGAATAGGAAACCAACATGGGGACGAAGAAATGGACGGGCAAGGCGGCGATGACGGCCATAGGATGATGACCATTGCAGCAAGTGTAACATGGATTCGGATCCCCTCCCGCGGCCAATGTGCAGGGAAGTGTTTTCATAGTAGCCATTAGATTAATACTGTGGTAGGAAGAAGGACGGATGTAAAATTAATTTACTAGCCACCAAAATTTTTTACCAAGACTCTTCTTCTTCTCTGTCTGAAGAAAACTGTCCTACAGTAGGCGACAAGGAGCCAGCTAAATCAATGGCCACAACCCAGACTTATTAGCTATTGGAGGAACACAATTGAAAGATTGAACCACTATAGCATCCATGCACATGTATGGGAGGAAACAAGCACAAATGAGCAAGCTTTCAACAGCAATAATCAAAGTTCTTCAAGCAGCAAGTTCTTCACATATATGCAAACACCCAGTGATCTGGATTCTTACCCAGGGTCGGAGGCTGTGAATCTCACAATCTTTGTCAGGTTGAAGGCAAAATCGTGTAAATGGAGAATGGAAGATCAGTCGAGGGATGAGGCTATCGTTTTTGAAGTCTGAACAGTTATCGATATGAATGCCATGGAAGGAAAGCCGTGAAACCCCTAGCTTTTTTTTTTTTTTTCCTTTTCCGATGCTTTGGGGGCTGGTAAATTAATTTTACACTATTGCCTCTTCCAACCACGAGATCAATCTAACGGTTAGTATAAAAACACTTTCCCGTCACTGCGCGCAGCCATTTTATGTGGCTCTCGAATACCTCTTATCATTAGCATGATTATCATGTATCATTAATTCCGAGCCGATTTTTTTAAAAAAAAATTTTTTGCTAGGCCAGTTCTGTTTATTGTAGGGTGAAGGTTTATTTTTATTCATGAATGTTTATTCGAGTAGTATTAGGTTTATAATTATTTGTAATTGTAATATTAGTTCATAATTTATAAGAATTAATTGTAAATCCCAATTTATTGTTATTAATATATAAATAAATCACTTAAAAAAATCAATAAAATACATTTATGATTATTTATAATATTAGTTAGGAATTTACAAAAGTTAATTTTGAATCATAAATTAATTATTTGTAATTTTTTTACTATCAATATAAATAAATCAATCAAAAAAGCTATAAAATATAATTAAGATTATTTGTAATATCAGTTATGAATTGTGAGTGCATTATTTGGATATTTTGCTATCGATTGGAAAATTAATATATGGTATTCCCTCCATTTAAAAATGTAAAATATTTTTAATTAAATCTCACCCTTCAATAAAATAATTATTTATTTTTAAACTAATTCTATATTTTCATATTTACTCCTATTTAATAAATTATTTTACTCTAAAATAAATACTAAATGATTTATTTAATATGGAAACTTTTGAAAAAAAAAAAGACAATGATTACATCTTGAAAAGACTAAAAATGCCTTCTATTTTTTAACATTTAACTCCTAAAAAATGTCTTATATTTTTTTAATAAAGGGAGTACTTAAAATTTTTTGTAGCTTAGTTGACAAAATTCTATTATAATTTTTAATTCAGATAAATTATTGCAAGTAATGATTCTGGTTTATTATTAGAATTTTAATAATTTTAAGTCTATAATTGTTAGTAATATTTTTATTCTTGAACTGTGCGTGCCAAAATGTTTTTTTTTTTTTTTTAATCTGGTTCTTGAACTGTAAGCATGTTTAGGGAATATAGACAGTCTACCTACGAACAATATTAATCGTATTTTGATTTGATTGATAAAAAATGTCTAAACAGTGCGGTCAATAAAATGTCAAACTAATAAAATATACAAGCCATGTGTGCTAAATGAAGTCAAATTAAAAAGAGATAATAAAATTTTTAGTCTTTTAATTTTCTTCAATTATTAATTTGATTATTGAAGTTAAATTTTTATCAATTTAGTTTCTTAAATTTACTTCAACTATATAGTAATTTGATCTTATTGATTAAAGAAAAGATAATATTGTTAAAATTTGCTAACGGAATATTAATGGTACTCATGTGGATTAATAAAAAAAATATAATTATTTATTCAAAAAAATGCAAACTTAGAAATTTAAAAAAAATAATAAAATATATTGTAGATGAGAATATATTAATAACAATTAAATTAATTGGAGAGCTAATGTATTCTTATTTAGTTATATATACATATCAAATTATTAACCTATGTTATACATTAGATTAATTTGAAAATTAGTTTGTATTTTAAAACATAAAAGATTAGCATAATAATTTAAGAAAACACAGGGCATCAAATAAATAAAAACAAAACTTAAAACATTAAATCAATAATTGAAATAATTTGAATTAAAAGTTTCATTATCTCAATTAAAAATATGCAAGGCATGCGTGATGACTTTTCATTCTGAGAGAATCTCAACGAAGGAACACAGAAGGAAATTAACTTCAAGAAAGAACTATTAGATTTTGAAATTTATTTGCAGGATTCTAAGTAGTGGCGGAGCTAAGATCCTAAGTCAAGGGGGGCAATGACAAAGTTAGGATTCTCGATAAAAGGAAGACATTTTTGTCTCTTTCAAATCAATCATTTCTCTTTTCTTTTTTCTTTTTTTTTTGTTCACTATCTAGCTTTCAATCGTATATTTGTAAGTGCAGTGAATTAGTAAAAAACATTCACCCAATTTGCTCTTACGTTTTGAATCTTTATTATTTATTATTGTCTTTTTTTTAAATAATCTCTAAGTAGTATTCAGGATGAGGAGCAAGTCTATATAGTTATACTATATTTTTTTTCTATTTTTTAAATAATTAATAAATAATATTGGTATTTAAGTATAATAAAATTGTGGGCTAATATTCATGAAGATAAGTTAAAAATTTGAATAGATTTAGGCTAAAAAAATAAGATTAAAATGAGTTTAAAGTTTAAAATATAAAAATAAAGGGGTGCAAAGTATCATAAGTAAAAGGTGTAAATTATAAAATATAAAAATCTATACTTTCAAACATATCATTTTTTCCAAGTCTCCCCTCAATTACATGTGGCTCGGCCACTGATTCTAAGCTTAATGGAAAATAATATTAGAAGGAAAATGACTTCATTTTAAAAAAAAACAGCTTCTCCCCATTTGAGAGTCCTAGTTGACCAGTGGCTCTCCTCTTCAGCATCCCTCACTCCTCCTCCGTGCTACTCAACACTATTCGGCGTCCCTTCCTCCTCCTCCGTGTTGGTTGTTGCTTTAGCGGTGTCCCCTGTGATGGCCACTAACTATACTTGCTACTTTAGCCTCCTCAAAACAGACCACATGGGGGGCGTTGAGGACACGTACAGATTAGAGCTTGAGAAGAGGATTTTGTGGTAGCTGAACAAGGCGTCCTTGAAGGAGATAATGATTAACTCTTTCAATCACACTTTTTGAATGTAAAGCTTGTGATTAGGTTGGTGAATGGGTTCGTGCGTTTGTATTGCTAAGGTGCCAAGATTAGTGCTGTTTTGGTTAAGGTGCGTGGCTAAATTAGTGGATTTATACCCAGTCGATGCTGCCATTGACGCCTTGTAAGGTGGCTAAGTCGGTGAAAGAGAAATTAGAATTGTGGAAGATAAATGAATTGGGACCTTACTCTTTTAATTCATGAACGAGTAGTTCAGATTGCATTCATCGTTAACCATATCTCCACACGCATGTCTCTATATATCAATCAGCTTCTTTCCTTCTTTTTGTTCTGGTTTCTACCATGAATCTCTCTCTCTCTCTCTCTCTCTCTCTCTCTCTTATTTTGCTTGAATAAGACACTCTACCATAATACAAAGGTAAATTACATTAGAAATTAAAGGGTCTAGAACCTTTGCTGTAGAAATTGACAATGCATTCTTTATCAAAAAAAAAAAAAAACTTGACTATGCATCTCTACTGTGACTAACTTTGCGTAAAAAATTACTAGTAATTACATATCAGTTTTTTTTCTAAGTCAGATAATATAATTATCTTTAAATTAATGTAATTTTTTTAACTTTACTTGTAAATTGTAAAATTTGACATGTAAATTCTCTTTTGTTATCAGTTAAGATTGGAATATTATCTATGCAATATTTATCTTGTGTAAAATCATCATTGACTTATCAAATTACTAGCATCACATATAGAATGTCTACTATTAATTGTAAATTACCATATATTGCTTATCAAGTCTGTAATATTATTGTTTAAATTCCGAACATCTGTAAATCTATATATAACTTGCTAAATTACTAATTTCACAAGTAAAATGTCTTGTAAAGTTTGATAATGTGATTGTCTGCAAATTAATATAAGTTCCCTTAATTTCAAAAATAAATTATAAAATGTCACTTGTGAATTCCCTAATATTATTAGTTGAGACTAGAATATTACTCGTGCAATATTTATCATGTGTAAAACCATCCATATTTAAATTTTTTTTGGCAAATTCATACTTATTAAATTACTAACATCACTTGTAGAACTTCTTATCTTAATAATAAATTGACTTATATTGCTTGTGAAGTTCATAATGTTACTTGTCAAATTCCTAGCTAGTTAGACATGTTAAATTTCTAACTTTATTAGCAAAATGTCTTGTAAAGTTTGATGATGTAGTTAACTTTAAATTAATGAAAATGCCCTTAATTAACTTCACTTGTAAATATTGAAACCTCACTTGTAAATTTGTAAAGGCTAAAATTTTGCTTATACAATATTCATCCCGTGTAAAATCATTCATAATTTGTTAAATTACTATCATCACTTGTAGTATATTTAATATTATTTGTAATTTTTTTTGTGTTCCTTGTTAAATCCATAACGTCACTTGCAAACGTGCCTTCTCTAAGATGCTATTTGCTTTTGTAGTGGCAGGAGTAATACTGTTATTTTGCTATGAAATTTAATTTTACATTTATCTTCAAAACTGCAGTAGTGTTACATCAAAAAAATTTGGGTGTGCTTTAGAAAATAAGTACCTACCATGGTCCTAAAATGAAATTTTCCCTTTAATTTTAGAGTGAGTTAGTATGAGTTTTCAAAATGGAAAAAAGAAAAGGGAGAACTTTGATTAAGAACTACTATAGAGATTTAATTTTAGATGGGTCCAAAATTTTAAAATTTCAGTTCAACCTAAGGGAAAAGTCAAAAGAATTTTGACCATGAAAAGATTAAAATATCCTTCATTTGTCATGCATAATCACTAATTATTAATATTCTTATTTCATTTGTTAATTTACAAATATAAGTTATAAATTACATGAGTTGATATGTCAATAACTATATAACAGTAACATCAGTTGATAAATTGCTAACTTTACTTACTAATTTACTAACATCAGTTATAAATTACTGACAAGTCATGTAATTTATTAATATCACTTGTAAATTACTAATAGGTCTTGTAATTTATAACTAATGTTAATAAATTAACAAGTAAAATGAAAAAAATTA